GGTTGTCTAAAAATAAAGTGCATTTAAACTCATTTGAGAGAATGCCTCTTAGTTTAATACATATCAAACTAAAAGTCCATTGGTAGTGTTCATGGAGAAGATAGAACCTGGTCAGAGACCACTGCTAAAAAGGCATAAGACTATCTGCAAATAACTTGTGCAGTGGAACTACTTCTGAGACTGGAATATAAAACAAGAATCAAAGTTTTAATTCTGAGTTGCAGAGAAGGGAAAGAGACTATGTTCATAGCAGTGCCAACATCTGAAGTGGTGCCTTACATATTTCATCACCTACAATGGAAATAGTTAACCCTGGAAGAGATGACCAAAAGGATAAAAAGACTTGACTCAGTTGGAAAAATAAATAAATAAATAAATAAATGGGAAATGGTCATGTCCATTAAAACTGATTTCACGAGTACTCCAAAACATACTAGAATATATTTTGGTCTATCGGCTTTATTACATTTTAGCATATCAGCTTTAGTATATTTTAGTATATCTTGTTTCAGTATTCACAACCTATTTTATTTGACCCTTGGAGGAAAATTGTATAATATTGAGAGCAAGGATGGCCTAGAAATCCTCTGCTTCATTTAGATTTTAGGATGGCACTTGTACAAGGATAGTAGACCTTTGCTGGCTTACTTAAAGTATTTTGACAGCCTCTTTTTATCAGTCTGCATTCCACTCTATACACATGCCTCACTGCCTTCACACTGATTTTAACAGTGCTTTAGAAAGAGGTAAATCTCAATACTTTGTCCTCTCTATAAACTTCTTTGCTTCTTCCTTTACTTATAGGATAAAAATCTCCAAACTTTGATTTTTTTTCCATAATCTGATTCCAGCCTTCTTCCTTTTTTATTTTTTATTTATTTATTATTTTTTTTACAGAACCAGGGATTGAACTCAGGCCCTTATGCTTGCCAGGGAAGTGCTTATTCCACTGAGCCATCTCCCCGGCCCCTTCCTGGCCTTCTTGTCCACCACCTTTTCCTTGTGTTGTACTCCTTACTGTTTCTAAAATACTCAGTCTAAAAAAAAAAAAAAAATACTCAGTCTATTAGGACTTGAGTTTATTTTTCAGGATCCATCCAATTAGATGCCATTTTGTAGAACAACAGTTTGGGTTTCTCTTCTTGCTTACCCTCAGTTAAGTAATAATCTCTTTCAGATCAAGGCTTATATCATATTTTCATACCCACTCAGAGCAGGCATCCAGTAATGATTTTTTGCAGTATATATTCAAACTTTTTAACTTTCAGAGTTTAATACCAGTGTAGGCTCTGTTCAGATGGGAAGAACTAGTCATTTTGGGTTGTGTGCCCTTGTCCTCCCAACCCCCACCCCATCCCACCCCATACCTGGATTGAACTCAAGACCTTGAATTTCAGCATTTATGCCACTGAGCTATCTCCCCAGCCCGGACTTAAAATTTCTTTAAAAAATTCTTAAGTTCGGTATAAAGTGTATACTTTCAGTTATCCTGTGTAGTCAAGGTAAGTACACTTAATTTTGTGTGTTGAAAATCTTAGTGTTATTCTGTGAGTCAGAATAAATTTGTGCTGTAAAGCTTAAAGTAGACTTGACCAATTTTTTATATATTTCAGCTCATGGAATGTTGTGTGAATGCCTTGGTGACGTCATTTAAAGAGACTATCTTAGCAGAGTGCCAAGGCATGATCAAGCGAAATGAAACTGAAAGTAGGTAAAACACGTAAAAATACTGAATTTCTTTGAAGAGAATTTCTTTGAAGCAAATGAGTTAACAAAGTATTGTTAGGTCATTCTTTTACACGTGTATATTTGTTAGAGTAAGTTCTGTAGTGAAAAGCAAGCTCCTCTGTGGTATAAGAGAACTATTTGAGATTCTGTTTCATTTGGGTTTTTTTTTGAGATACTGCCTTGCTATGTATCCCAGGCTGGCCTCAAATTCATAATTCTCTTGCCTCAACCTCCCAAATACAGGGATTCAAGGCAAAATATTTGAATTTTATGTGCTTATCAAAGTAGAGTTATACATAACACATGTTGGGCACCCGAACAAGGGTTTTTTAAAAAAACTGGGAGTGAACCCAGGGCCTTCGCACTGAACTCATCACCAACCCTAGGGGGTCTCATCAAGTTGTTAGTTGCCCAGGCTGGGCTCATATTGATAATCCTGTCTCAGCCTCCTACAGATCTGGGATTTTAAATCTGCTGAAAAATTCTTTATGAATATAGATTTACATTATACTTATTCATTTCATTTATTTTTTTAAATTTTATTTATTTATGTGTGTGTGTGTGTGTGTGTGTGTGTGTGTGGCCAGCTCAGCCCACCAGGGGGCGGGGCTGGCTGGCATGTGGTGCTGGGGGATCGAACCGCAGTCCCTGTGCATTGCTAAGCTTGTTCCAAGTAGGTGCTTTAGACCACTGAGCCATCTCTCCAGCCCCCATTTCATTTATTTTTGTTTTTTAATTATCTAAAGAATACAAAATAGGAAAAAAATTAGAAATAATACAAAAGACAAAACAGTAGGAATTTGACAACGGTTGCTATATTGCATAATGTTGTCTTCAAATAAGTTGTTGAGATTACTAGATATAAGCATGCAAAATTGGTTTTTAAAAAGTTATAAGAAATTAAAAGGGACAAGAAAAAAATAGTTTAAGTATCAACTGTTCCCCTCTGTAGGCAGCAGAAATCAGCACAATCATCCAAGCACATCCTGCATAAATATGTCTCCCCCTCCCTGCTGTCCTTTTCCTCATCCCAATTTTTCCTTCCTTTTGAACAGATTCTCTTTTACAATATCTATTATACCTTTCAGATTTTATTTCCTCTTTCAAGTTCTTACACTAGGGAGACAATACAGTGTTTGCACATTTAGGTCTGATTTATTTCACTTATAAATATCATCTCTAGTTGCATCCATTTATATCAAAAAGCCTCAGATCTTTTTTAGAGCTGAGTAATACTCCATTGTATAAAAATACCGTGTCTTTTTTTTTTTTTTTTGATTGCTACTGCATTGTATAAAATACCACATCTTTTTAATCTATTCCTCAGTTGATAGACATATTTGGGTTGTTGCCAAGATTTAAGTTATGACAAATTGCACTACTATAAACATGGGTACACATATATCATAAAATATTGTGGTATAATACTTTTAGTTCGTTTGGAACAATACCCAGGAGGGGAATAGGTGGATTGCTTAGGATCTCCAAGTCTAGCTTTTTGAGAAATCTCCACACTGATTTCCATAGTGTTTGTACCAGTCTACACTCCCATCAACAGTAGATTCATTTCATTTTTGAGGTGCGATCTTGCTGTGTTCCCAAGAACTTCTGACCTTCACACATCTTTCTGAATCACCCATCTGAATAGCTGCAGCTACAAAGGTATCACCTGTGCCTGGGTTGTACTTTTAAGAATAAACAATACTGCATCTCTTTGATGATCAGAAGGAGTTGGGTTTTACAGTGTGTTTTCAATTTGGTTTTTATACAAAGTAATTTTTGCGAAGCTTAGAAGATAAATCAGGAAGCCCTACTTGCCATAATTTTTAAACTAATTGTACCCACAGCATGCAATTAATATAAATATTTCTCCATAGTTCATTCATGATTTAAATAAGAAAAAAAATTCTATTCGATAGAATAATTACATGAGTGTGTCCTCTGTTTTTCAGAATTACATTTAATGTTTTCATTGATGGATAAAGTTCCTAATGGAATAGAGCCAATGCTGAAAGACTTGGAGGAACACATTATAAGTGCTGGTCTGGCAGATATGGTAGCAGCTGCTGAAACTATTACCACTGTAAGTATCCCTCAGTAGTACTGACAGATGATTATCAGTGTTTTTTGTTTAAATGCAGATTATGGATTGAAATGATAAAAAGTTAGTATTGGAAATTTAATTATATTTGTAAGAAAAAATTTCACCAATTTTAAAACTATTCTTTTATTAAAATTGTATTATTTTTCTGTCATTTTCCTGTTAAAAAATTAAATATAAAACATTTTCTTTTTTCCAGGACTCTGAGAAATATGTTGAGCAGTTACTTACACTATTTAATAGATTTAGTAAACTTGTCAAAGAAGCTTTTCAGGATGATCCACGATTTCTTACTGCAAGAGATAAGGTATATGCTCTTGATTATTAACATTTTGTATTACAAGTATTACTCTTATCATTTACTTTAAGCAGTTAGCACTGTGCTGCTATGAAATTGCAGATTAAAGACCTGGCACCTCCAATTTGTGTGGGCAGTTACTGTTACATGTGGTTTAGCATATGTACTTTTAGATGTTGCTTATCTGTGAGCTAGAGATTAGCTGGAAAGGTGCTTTCTTCATTTTCCCCAAGAATATTTGTTTGCTTTTTAATCATACTGATTATTAAATTCCTTTTTATCTTTAAGATCTGGCTCCAAGCAAAAAAAAAAAAAAGCCTAATCAAACAAAGGGGCTGGGGAGATAGCTCAGTAGAATAAGCACTTGCCTGGCAAGTGTAAGGTCCTGAGTTCAATCCCTGGTTCCGCCAAAAAAAAAAAAAAAAAAAAAAAAAAAAAAACCTAAGATCTGGCTCCCATTATATGTTCTTCCTAACCAAAGTTTTTGTCCTAAGTCCTTTCCTCGTGTTCTTTTGAGAGGACTTAGCCTAATGCCCTCCAGATTCATTTGTTTTTGTAGTTGCAAGTAGTGAGGAGTCTTTTAGGGCTGAGTAGTATTCCATTACATAGTTGCACCCATTTCTCAATACATTTGTGTGTCAGATATTTAGATCGGTTGTTTTCATCTCTTGGCTGTTGTGAATACAGCTGCAAAGAACATGGAGTTCCAGTATCTTTACAAGGTGTTCATTTCATTTCCTTTGGATGTATGCCCAGTAGAGATAGCACTAGGGATTTAGATTTTATTATGACAAGATAGTATGTAGGATTTGCTGGTGAAGCATGTGTAGTATGCTAGAGATCATTCAGGGAATACACTCAGTGGTTCCAGTCATTTGGCAGGTTATTTGCATCATGATAGGTGAGAGTAAAGTGGAAACAGGTTGTGCGGAGAAGGTTGCAGGGAGCTCAGAAACTCGGTTTTGAACAGGTTAACATTAAAACGTGTGTTCAACATTCACGTGGAAATGCGGAGTCTGCAGTGGAAGGCTGAGAAGGGAGTTGGAAAAAAGTACTGTATTGGGCAGTGTCTGCATGGAAATGCCTTTATAAAGCACAGACACTGCCTACAATCATCAGAGAAGTAACTTAGATGGAAGAAATGATCCTAGGAATGACTTAGAATTCTGACAGCAAGTTGTTAGAAAAGGGGGGAGTCATCTTCTATGGGGGGAGAATGACTGTAGTGAGTAGGAGAGCATAGTATGCTAGAAAACAAATGGGAAAAGGATCTCTGAATACTCTTGGTAACAGGTGTAGTGGAAATGCCCATAATCATTGCACTCAGGGGGCTGAGGCAGGAGGAGTGCCACAAGTTTGAGGTCAACTAGATAGTGAATTCAAGACCAGCCTGAACTATATATAGCAAGACCCTTTCTCAAAGAAACCGAAATGCAGTTGATGGGTTGACGGAGATGAGAGCTAACCATTATATTCACCAGCATGGAGGTCGTTAGTAACGTTTACATGAATACTTGAGAGGATCAGTCATTTGACAGCCTGACTATAAGGGTACTAATAAAAAAAGCTTTGGTTGGGCATGGTGGTGGACACTTGTAACCCCAGCACTTGGGAGCCTGAAGCAGAACTGTCACTGAGTTTGAGGCCAACCTGAACTATGTAGTGATACCCTCCTTCCACTCCAAAAATCAAAACAAAACGAACAAAAAACATCTGTCTAGGAGAATAAGGCACTGAATTTGAAAAATGCCATTGGATTTCGATGGGGATTACAATGGTGTGGTTATCAGGCAGCCTTAAGATCCACATGATAGGAGCCAGGGAGATGGCTCAGTGGAATAAGTGCTTGCTTGGCAAGCACAAGGGTCTTGAGTTCAATCCCTGGTTCCAAAAAAAAAAAAAAAAAAAAAAAAAGATCCACATGAGAGTGTCGATAGAACATGACAGAGCATGCTAGTCTTTGAAAACATTCTATCATGACAGACTCCACTAGAAGTAAAGTCTGGACTAGGGATCCTGTTTAGTAGTAAGAGTGAATGCTGTAAGGCCATGACATCTCCAGCACTGCAAAAGAACAGTGAAATACTCCCCCCCCCCACATACTTTTGAAAGTGTAATAATTTATGGATATATTGTAAATATTTAGAGTATGCTCATTTTCTATTCTAATTATTTTTTTCAGGCATATAAAGCTGTTGTGAATGATGCTACCATATTTAAACTTGAATTGCCTTTGAAGCAGAAAGGGTAAGCTTTTTTGTTTCTTTTTGGTCTTTTTGAGATAGGGTCTTGCAACTCAGTTGAGGCTGGTTTTGAGTATAGTCCAGGCTTGTCTTGAACTTGCAGTAGTCCTCCTGCTTCAGCCTCCCTAATGCTGTGATTACAGACTTGTGCCACCACACCCAGCTTGGGTAAGCTTTTTTTAAAGTATATATATATATATATTTTTTAATTTTATCGAGAAACAAATATTAATGAGACAGTTTCAAAGCTGATTAATAGGACATTTTCAATACTTAATACATTGTACATTGTTACCTTCTTAGTGGTTATTAAAATTATATTCTAAAAATAATTAAATTGTTTTGGACTGTATTACATGTTACCGTATCTGTAAAGTACCCTGTTTTCCAGTTAGGTTTGTTTGTTTTTCTTTTTCTTTTTTTGGTGGAATTGGGGTTTGAACTCAGTCCTTTGTGCTTGCCAGGCAAGCACTTACTCTACTGAGCCATCTCCTCGGCCCCTTAGGTGTTTTTTTTGTTGTTATTCTTAGGGCTCTTCCATCATTTCACCATTGTAACTCTTTGGTATCTAACTTTTATTAGTCTCATTTTATTGACAGAAAAGTTAACTTTATTTTCTGAAACAGGAAAACATTTTGTTTTAATTATTTAATGGATTTTTTTCCTTATTAATTAGTAAAGATATATTCTATTACGTGCAAAAACAAGCCGGGGAAATGGCTTAGTAGAATAAGGGCCTGAGTTCAATCCCCCATTCTGAAAAGAAAAAAAAAAACAACAAAAAAAACCATAGTTAACAACTCCATTTACTATGTGATTTTTTTTTTGTTTGTTTGTTTTTGTTTTGTTTTTGGTACTAAGGACTTCACACTTGCCAGGCAGGTGGTAGGCTAGAGTTATATCCCCAGCTAAAACATCAATTTTAATTTAAGAATTATATTTTTAAAAAATTAATCTCTTTAGGGCTGGTGAGATGGCTCAGTGGTCTAAAGCACCTACTTAGAACAAGCTAAGCTAAGCAAAGCACAGGGACCGCGGTTCAATCCCCCCCCCCTGGTGGGCTGAGCTGGACACACACACTAAATAAATAAATAAATAAATAAATAAATAAAATTTAAAAAAAATTAATCTCTTTGGGGGGCTGGTGAGATGGCTTAGTGGTCTAAAGCACCTACTTAGAACAAGCTAAGTTAAGCAAAGCGTAGGGACCACGGTTCAATCCCTCAGCACCACGTGCCAGCCAGCCCCGCCCCCTGGAGGGCTGAGCTGGCCACATACACAA